ATATATATTATATATATATATACACAATGCAAAAAGTTAATATAATTAATTTTAGTTATTTAAAAAGAGAGATGATATTTAAATTTTTTCAACCTATGTTCTATGAAACTATTTTGTATATATATATATTTTGTATATATATTTTGTTTCCTCATATATTAATGATCTTCAAATCTTATTCAGAAATGTTAAATTACATTAAACTATTGCAGAAGAAATTGATGCAAATATATAAAAATGAGGATTAAAATAAAGATAATTTAAAAAATATAGATATTATTAGAAGTTTTTAAATAGATAATAATGAGTGAGAAATTTTCACTATTGTTTCTTTCATTCTGCTATTGATTAATTCAAATAATTAAAGTATATAGTGCATTAATATTATGTATTGCTCTTAGAATTGTATATATGCTATTCAAATGATTTGCTAAGAATAACATGGAATATCATCATTCATTCTAGTCTATTATTTGCTTTTTCAAATAAAAAATTATTTTATGACAAGTAGACATAGTAAATATAATATTTTACATAAACTTTTCTAATATGAGAAAATATATGATTTATGATAGAATTTATAAATATCAATTTGGGAAAAATTATTGAATTAAAGAAAATTTTTTCTATGTAATATATTACATATATATTATTTATAACAAACATTACAATAAACAATAACAAACATTATTAAGAATTTAATACACTACTACGATATACTTTTGTCTTGTATCTAAGGACATATATTCATATTAATTATCAATAGATTACAACAAAAAGTATTATTTATGCTTATAAAGTTAGTATATGATATTAGTAATATGAATATTAAATCTGGATAACTAATTAAGAAATAGCAATTAAATGAAATTGCTATATTAATAATATTTATCACAAATATTTATGAAAGAAATCAAGAAATGTAATCTAAACTATAATCTATAATCATCATCTTTTTTATAACATACTTTCTATGGGAAAGATGAGAGATAAGATGCTCATAATATAGTGCATAATATTGCATAAGTTAATTTCAGTGTCTAAATTGCGTTTTTGAATTATTTAATTGACATACATATTGGTTTAAAATAAATTATATGCATGTGATGTTAACAGAATGAAACATTTTAAAACAAAACAAAGAAATATTACTAATAACTAGATTGTGGATTTGCTTATCAGTTTGCTCGAATATTGACGGCAACCGTTAATCCAACGAAGATATAGAAGCAGAAAGTATAAAAAAATTAGATGTGGTAAAAAAAAATAGATGTGGTAACGAAAATATTGCTAAGAATAATAACTGTCATCGAAAATCGAGTTAAATTAGAAGAGTTAATCTGTGTGAATTGCTATTAACTATCATGTGATTATGTTTATCAAATTCATACAAAGCATGGCACCAATGCAATAATTTATGCACTTGTATCTTTCTTAATAAAGATAAGAAACATGTTAACATATTATTGCCATATTAATATCTATATAAACTTAATATTCAAATTTAGATTAATGATTACTCTATAGATTATGATAATGAAACAGGACTAAAATTAGAATAAACTAGAATGTTGAATAAATTAGAATAAACTAGAAGTGTATTACTATGTATGTGTCGTCGTTTATAAATAGAATGTTGACATGTGTATATGTATGCCTTCAAAATAAATATTTTTCAACAATTATATTCATTTTATAACATTTATCTCATATGTTTTGTTTTCTAAGTAATATATCACTTTATTTTTACGAAAATATCGCATTCTAGTTTTATGCAATTTTATTAGAATTTTTATCAACTATATTATATATAGGATCAATCAAAAGCATAGTAGAACATTCTTCAAAATATTAATTGTTGGAAAAAATGTTACAAATAAAAGTTGTAAAATTTGAAGTTATTATAATTAATAAAATAAATTCTTAAATTTAATGAAACTTAGCGACTTGTGATATTTACATTTATCAAAAAAATTATTTTATGTATAATTAAAAATTATTTTATGTATAATTTTCTTATTACTGATTATTATTATTATGAAATATTATTTTTATTACAATTTTGAAGTTTAGAAAAATATTGTAAAATAATTTTATCATGATTTAGAAAGAATATTATGGAATTTTATGTGTAGATAATTGATATAATATTTTAAATGTCGATAATATATTGTGCAATGTCATATTATATGTGTGTTAAGTCCATGATAGATAGGGACAAAGTAGAAGTTTAGCGAAGACTAGTTAGTTTTTCTTTGTTTGTTGTGGAAGGATGAAGCTGTGGAAGGTGCTCTGCGGGAGATAGGGCTTTTATAGGTACCCTATTGTTTGCATGAGCTTCACGGACAGAATATCGACCCACACGATCGACCGAAAAATCCGAAAAGGCTTACCTGCTCTGCATGATGCCATTACAACTCTACTATATAGATACATAAATTTTCAAGTCAACGTTACTAGTCATATACGAGACATTTGAGGCATCGTACATTTTCTTTCTTTTATGATGAAAACTTTTCACATTTTTTTTTAATTTTTAGTAAAAATATCAAAATAATCTAATATATTGTCAAAGTGTATTTAAATTAAATAAATTGTTTATTTAAATTAAATAAATAAGTTTTCTTATCAGAAGATTTGAAAAACATCCATAAAAATTGTTATATAATCTATCTTTTTATTTTTTTTTTATTTGAAAATTTATTGGATGGGAATTTTTAATTTTTTTAATTTACTGACGGCTTTCAATAATCTCAGTTAAGAAAAAAAAATGTACGATCCTACATTGTCTGTGTATGTTAATATATTTTTATAAAAAAAAAATCTTCTCTTGCACATAGAACAAATTATGTTATTAACCAAAGGCTGAATCACGGTTTTTAAATCTTAATTATAACTTTTAATGTACGTATTAACGAGTAAGTGATATATATAGTTACCTTACGTACTTTAATCTTCAACTATGGCAATAAAATTACCTGTATCTGTAAGTTATTTCTATGAAAGTGTTGTCTATGTATTACTGAAAAACGTCAGTATTAATAATGCGATTATTACATAGAACGTATATTCCTTACGCATCTATGTATCTATTTAAAAGAAAAAAAGGATTTTATCTTAATCATATAAATAATTTAGAATTTATCTCTTTATACTCTTTATAAACAATATTATATATATATATATATATATATATATATATATATATATATATATATATATATATATATATATAAATAATATCGTCAATTTTTAATGTCATTATACATTAAGTGTACTAGTAATAAATATATATAGTACGAAATCTTTATATTGTAATTAAAAATTAGCGCGCATAATACCTTTTCGATACTCGCCTACGTTACATCAGTTACATAAGTCTCAGATGAAAATGGCACGCATTCAAGTTCATTGAAAATTATTTTATTAATGAATAATATAAGAGATTTCTAAAGATAGCAAAATAATATGTTAGCTGGATATTTCTTATAAGTTATCACGCGTTGTGTGTGTGTGAGCATATTGACCTGGATCGCATTCTTATTTCATCTAAAAGATTTTTTTTAGAATTTTTATAATTCAATACACGTGCATGTGAAACAAGCAATTTTTATTGGCGCTTAAGATTTTTATCAAGATAATATATAAACATGCGCTTTGTGTATAAATAAATAAAAGTTACTCGGTTATATGAAAAGGGTTCAGTTCACCATTTGAAGCTGCATCAAGAAGGAAATTTTATTATGAAGTAGGTACGTGTACGCTTATATATACATACATATAATATATATCTTCATTCTATTTTTCGTAATGTGTTTATAAAGTGCAGCGTCAAAGTAATTGACCCCTGTTCATATTGTTGTAAGGCATTCCAAGTATGGTATCGATAAACTTGTCCTCTTATATATATGTTGCAGGAGGAGACTCCTCAAGGATTCTTCGAAGATCATGGATTGGGATAATATTCTTTAAAACAATACACATATTTATTTGTAAGTTTACATTCCTATAATTATGTTTTATCATTCCATATTTTTATTTAATGCAACCTCCATGTCGTGAATCCTAAAAATTAAAAGAATGTATAAGAATATTTTGGATGTAATCATTAATTGTTAAATTTATTTTAATGTAAAGAAAAAATAGGAATGAAAGATTTACATTTTTTCTTTAGCTTTGAATAAAATTTACTCGTACATTTTTTTTAAGTACTGATCGCATTTACATTAATTTTATCGAATCAACAATAGATAGAAAATGACAATGGCAATCGGATGTATTTTGATATGCGTAAACATGTTATTTCTTTGATTTATATTTTATTTTATTTAAAGCCATGCAATTAAAAAATTGATTGTTCTGTTTAATTAACGAGGAAATGATAGAATGTTTAAAAATTGTTAAACAAAATAAATGTATAATTTCATACTTCTTATATATTGTGTAAAACCAAGAAAAACATTTTTTAAATTTTAATTTAAAACTGTTTCTTTTATGTGACGAAAGATAATATTACGAAAATCCTATTTATGTAATAATACAAAATATATTATGGTTGGATGAAATTACAGATCTATAAAATTAGCGACTATAAAATGTAATATTCCCATCAAGAACATAAATTATTTATACACAATCATTCATTATGATGTTTCAATCATATATGATGTATTATTAATTAAATATATATTTTGTATTACATAATATCATTAATTGAAATTCCAGATCTTTTTCTGAATATAGAACTACAATAAATGTTTGCACATTTTCAATTATTGTTAGAAAAGAAGTTACAATAAGAATATTATCTGATTGGAATATTAAAAAGTATAACATAGACTGCGTCAGAGAGAAAAATTGTAGAATCGATAGTAAATATGTATTCTTTGAGGAATTTGATGGCCAAAATCATTCATTAGTAAATGTTAAAGTTGATCAGATTTAATTTGTCATTGATTAAAAAGTAACATTAAAATGTAGTTTGTGATATAATTATCTGAATTTATTTCATATAAAGATTTAGCAACCAAGATTCTGTTTGTCAAGAAATTGACTGTTTCTCGCTGTTGTTTGTTAACATGTACTCGGCTTGTACCAATGTATTGTTTAACATTAAAATGTTATATTAATGCATGTTTGCCAAATATGAAACTGTATACACCGATTAGAATAGTTATCGGAGAATCTTGTAAGTTGTTGAGACTCTTGATTTATCGAATGAGAAGGTATCCAGTTACTTGATGTTTCATTACAAAAAAAAGGAAAAGAAGAACACATAAAAGGCTACATCTTTACTATCGACTACTGTTTCTTTAGATGAATCCAGAATAGTTAGGAAGTATTAGTATTTTTTAGCATAATTATAAAAGTGTAATTTATTTTTAACTCTTAACTGATATAACAAAATTTATATTTTAAGAAATTGTCTCTTTACTTTTTGCATATTTTTATTTTCATTAACTTTTCCATTTATATCATTAGACAGAGAGATCGTAAATAAAATGAAAAACAGTTCAAATACAAAATGCTAGATATATTTGAATACAAATATTATTATATATTATATTTAATTTTGAATCCATTGCACGCATTTTTGTTCCATACGTATCGTTTTGCTATTACTTACAAAAATTATTATATTATTATTTATTCTTTACTTCATTCTTATTTGTTATTATTTTGTATAATATATTTATATATAATTTGCAATTTAAGTATTATACAGATTTTTTAATAAACATATATTTAATATTTCGAAAACTTTTGTATTAGTGTAAGGCCAATATTCTAGGCCGATGACTGTCTTATCTACTTATTTATCTATATATATTTTTATTTTCTTGATTTTGTAGTAAAAATAATAGTTCACGTCACAGTATAGTTTAAAAGTTAAAGAATATTTCGATTATTTTAGCATTTATCTTACTATGATCATTACATAGTTTAGTGATACAAGTGGAATGAAAATTTAGATGATTTATTGGCAATAATTTACTAAATACATTTAAATGCAACGTATACGTATCTCTGCATCCTTATTAAAAAATTACATTGTATTGTGTATTTTTATGAAACTTAAAGCGTGCATACGTAACAAAGTGTAAAAATTATCGATTTTCGTATCTAATATAGTTGTTGAAATAAATCGAGATATTTTGTTACATAAATGTACATCGTTAAAATGTGCAATCGAAGTATACCAACATATATTAAAAGTCTTTCCATATTAAACATCAGACAATAATTTAAATGTATTAAATATTCGCTTGCAACATTTATATACGTTATGATATATATATATATATATATATATATATACACACGCACACACGCGTTGTACACTCATATCTAATAATAATGAATGTAATTGAATCTGATTCATATCGACAGAATATTCGTGTCTTATAAACTGCGTGCTCGTTTTAAGTATTCAACACGCAACTACTTCTCTTCAAAAATTTTAGAGGAGTATAAAATTATATACATATAAATCCATCCCTTTTATTCAATTTTATTCATTTTTTCTATTTGTCTATCTTTTCGTTATGTAAATATATCAATTTGACAATTTAGATTTAGAGATCAAGAGGCACGATATTGTTATAGAATGTATTACAAAAGAACTACGAGATTTATATATTATATTGTGTTAACAACTGTTTATATTAATAACCTGATTGAGCAGGATACGTCATGCGTATTTAGGTATCATTTTATAATGCATTTAAAACTATTCTATTTTTTATGCTACTTATTTTAACTTTATTATATTATTAGTATACATAATTTCATTTTATTGCGTGAAATCTAAGCACACGTATGTGTATCTTAAAAAACATCTTAACTTTTTCGGACGAGAATTTTCTATCATAGAAATATCTGCAAGATCTTGCTTTTTAGAAATTGTCAAGATTGTTGAATTCGATTCTGGCTTCAAAATTCTAAAAATGATAGATCTGGCAGATCGAATTTCAGAAGAAATTATTTAATTATCATAGAACTTAGTTTTGAAGGATCTTTGAGCTCTTTGAAGAAAACGCTGAATTGAAATGTTATTTCAGAAAATTTTAAATTTTATTAATCTTCATCAAAAAAGAAACTCATTACAAAAGACTCAGAATCTGCGTTATTAGATTCGCTATTTTGAATTTTGTGTTTTTGACTTAAAGATTTAAATAGCAGTATATAATAGCAAATATAATAGCAAATACCCTTACTATATATATATATATATATATATATACCTTAGACCAAGATACACAATACAATTGGCCCGAGGCTCCTCAAAGAGTTAATATACATTTATTAGATCAATTAACAAAGCATATAACGTTTTATGTTTACACTTTACAACGACATGATTGTTCTGCGATACATAGAAACAATAGTAAATGTCGCGTTTTAATACGTTAAATTTTTGAAATATGTAAACCAGCGCACTGTACATATTTTATCATAAACGAATCAAAATAGTTAATAAGTTATCTTTTTGTTGCTATCGCTGGTACTGATGTTTGATGAAACAATAGGATTGTAGAATAAGACTTTATCGATGTTAAGAATGAAATATGTATTGCGTTAAGATCAAATGTTGCATTGACAAAAGACGATGCTTTGTGCTCCGTCCAAAAATAAAGTACATAAAAACAAATTTATCCATATTATTATAATAATTTTTTATATAATATTTCATACTACCGAAACTGTTATTTAAATTAGATATGAATGCCTAGAAAATATCAACATAATATTATAATAGTTTATAAAAAATATTTTCATTTTTATTATTTTGAATTAGACAAAGTGTTCCTTACAGATTTTTGAATGAAAAAAATGCTGCAATTCAAAAGCAGAAAAGTCTGTACTATTTTAGTAAAACTTTGTATTAAAATTCTTCACAACATGACAAAAATAAGACATTAAAATTAAAAAAATGCATTTTATAGAGGATAAATAATACATTCATGAGTTTTGATCAAAATTTTCAAATATCGTTAACCTTTATGAAAAATTTTCAAATATTGTAAAAAAGCCATTTTAAATCTCAATTATTTTGGAAATCTGAAAATGCTAGAAATTTTGGAAATCTGAAAACTAGAAAAATTTAACTTGTGCATCGTTTTCATCCAAAAATCTTTAAGAAATAACTTATCTGGTTTAAAATAATATTTTGCTATAAACTAGTGTTATTAATATGATATATTAATACAATTAAAAAACCGTACGAGAAGATTGTGATTAAAATTTAAAATAATTTTCATATATAAGTGATTGGCATATTTAGATAATATTATCTCAGAATGTAAATATTTGTGTATTTTTAACGAAGATTAATCCATTAATTGTCACATATATGAATATTAGACGAGCAAATTAATTCAAAAAATCGGAGACAGTAATTTTATGCGTAACATTCGTTAAAGTGAGACTAATACAATCGCATTGTACGTTATTACAGCTTTATGCCATCAAAAGAAGACATTTCTGTGCAGAATTCTCGTAAAATTAGGACAAAAATGAAGAATCAACCATTGACCGCCATTTTTTTTTTTTTAATTATGCTTTGACATTGGAACTTTCAAAAAAAAAAAAAACATTTACTAACATATCATTTAGAAGCCTATACGTGATTATAACAGTAGTTTGTAATAACGGTAGTTGATGCATTTAGCGTGCTTCTCTTTCCCGTATTGAAATTTAAACCCACTTCATTCACGTTCGATCGTACAATAGAGAGAAAGAGAAAGAGACAGACAGAGGGAAAGAGGGGGGGAGAGAGAGAAAGCACGGCGAGATATAACTTTATAATGTCCGTCAATATAGGCATGTGCAGCAGACGGTTTAATGAATACAACGGATGTGACAGGGAATATGAAAATGCGTGCCACCTCCTCATGCTTCCGTTATCGAAAAATCCAAGCGAGGCGTCCGTAACT